TATTTTTAAAAATATTAAAATTTAATTCATAAAATATTTATAATAAATAAAAATTGTATTAGATATGAACTTGAAAAAACTTCTAAAAATCCTCTCATCAAATAAAAACTTCTAAAAACATTATCATACAAGAATCAAGATAATCATTCATGATTTGTATAGGAGTTGATTCTATTTTTTAATAGCCTATTAGACTTAATCCACCATATCTTATTTCTATTTCTAAATTGAATTTTAATAAATTTTTTTAAATATTTTGTAATTAATTAAAAAGTTATATCACAGTTTATTTCATTTATGTAAATTTAATTTATGTATTCAAACCATTTATCTATAATTAAAATAATTATAACATATTTAATACATTAAAAATATTTTTTATTATAAAATTAAATTATATAAAAATAAATACCTATCATTTAATAATTGACTAAATACTAATTCCACGATGTAGCCATTATGAATTATTTGGTTGTGTTTGGTTTGGTGAACCCTCCCTTTAGTGTTTGGACTTGGTATGGTATTGGGTTTGGTAGCTGTTCATCTACGCTTCTTTGATATCATCGAAAGCTCAAAAGATTATCCTTTTGATTCTCTTCACACCTCTTCAGATTTTCTCAAGGTATTGCGGCGTCACTTACATTTTCTGGATTTCAATTAATTTATTTAGTTGGCCTCACAGACCACAAAAATGTAATTTATCTATGCTGAGAATTGAGAATCATTTTATATATATTTAAATATATACATTTTGATTCCATATAAATATATAATTGAGGTGCTTATGTATTTTTTTCAGTAAAAAATTACAATAGCAGCAATGAGCACCCCTAACTTCACATATAATAGTGGATGCATGATTATTAATACATTGTTGCAATAACTCTTTCACACGAATTTATTATTTTAAAGGTTAAATTCTACTTTTTTTAACTTTTTTTTTTTTGTCGATCTATAATTTTGGTTTCTTATTTTAAAATAAATATATTTAATTTTCTAATTTTAAAAAAAAATTAAGTCATTCTCTTAATTTGATATATGTTATTTATTAAGTTTAAACCTTTATACATATTTAAATGATGTGACATTTAATATTATGATGTTTGAAAATAAACTAAAAAAAGTAATCATGCAAATAATATTTTTTAATAAAATAAAATATATGTTATTGAATATGACATCATTTAAGTGGTGGTGACAGGTTATGAACAACAATAAAATTTAATGATCAATAAAATCAAATAATAGTAAGACTAATTGTATTTTTAAAAATAAAAAATTAAATAATTATATTTTAAAATAAAATGATTAAAATTGCATATCAACTTAGATGTACAAAAATTGAAATTTAGCCTATTTTAAAATGTGTCAGTTTTAAATTATTTATTCAATTTATTTGTTATTTTTAAAAAATAAAAGTATTAATTTAACTTTTTTTTAATATCACCTATGTTTCTTAAAATTGTGTTTAATTGATCTTCAGAGATAATTTACATTTTATTTGGTTAATTTATAATTTTGTTTAATTGAAATAATGTTTAATAAACAATATTACATTAACTTGTATTTTTTATATTTTACTTGAAATGATATTTGCTGTTACACTTTTTTTACACTTAATACTTTAATAAAACCATTTCTTTCCCCACCTCCCACTCCTCCTTAATTAAGGGGAAATTCTTACATTTTTTTTTTGAGTTTTTCATTTGAACTACTAAACCAAATTACATCGATATGGATTATACTATTACATTATCAATAAATTATATATAATATAAAATTAATCCACCAAAATATTAAATTATAATAATATATTAAAAATATGTTTTTTACATCAAATTTTAACACATTTTTATATGATTAAATGAGGTTGTTTAAACTTTGTCAACAAAAAAAAAGACATTATCTCGATGTATAAAAATAAGTATTATTTGATTTATTCTTTATTATTATCATTTTATTTATAAAATATATGATAAAAATTATAGTAGTGAATTATTATAATTTTTATTCATAAAAATTATAATAACTACATCAAAATTTGAATTTAGGACCCTACACCTACTACTCCAATCTCCTCTACGTTAATAAAATTGACTTTCCAAAAAATTATTACATACTATAATAATTACAAAACTTATACTTAGGGACGGATCTAGGTTGTCCATAGTGGGGGCACTTGTCTCTCTTCCATTTGATACATGCATATTTTCTTTATTTAAAAAAATTATATTTAAAAAATAAAAAGTATATTTAAAAAAAATTATATTTAAAAAATAAAAAGTATATTTTAATACACACTGCTAACTTATAAATGTTTGTAATTCAAATAAATAAATATATATATATATATATATATGTTTTTATAAGTTATACTTGTAATTCACTTTCTTAGTAATCCTATAAAACTAAAACTCAAGTGATAAATCTTTAATCTTTTAAATCATTGTAATATTACTTTAATCTCTCAATTATAAATATGTATATATATATATATATGACATTAATTTCCTGTTCCACTAGATTCTTTTTTATTTATAAAATTAAAATAGGTTCGCCTAATCGATTGATATTTTTTTCATCGATAATAACGAAGATATATATAATGAAAAATGTGCAAAATTTTGTGTAATTACTATTGTTACAAAATATTTCTTTTATCTTATAATAAATCACATTTTAAGTTATTTTACATAAAAAAATTAATTAATGGATGAAAAAAGAATAATAATTTTATGAAATTAACCTCACGATAAATCTTATTTCATAAAAATAATACAACAGAAATATACTTTTTACATAATATTATTAGGAGTATAAATAGATGAGAAATAATTAATTATATATTAAAAAATTAATATAAAACTTATTTTGAAACTTATTTTTTGTTCTAATATAATTCTTATTATGAGATGAATGAAGTATATGAATTTTGTTAAATGTATTAAACATAATAGTTAAATATATTTAATACACTTTATTAAGTATTTTAAAACATTTAAAAATGAATATTATTATATATTAATATAATAAATACTTTTTTTACGTTTATTTTTCAACTAATATCCTTAAACATTTGTTGATCTGATTCCACAGAACATTGCAGCAAACAAATCCCAAGTTAAGAATAATAGTCAAATAAATTTTCCTCAATGTGACAACTTCAAGATTGTAATCTCTGGTCTTGCATCTAGAATCATGATTCACTTTTATTGTGACTAAATACTACTGCTGTTGAGTTCAAGTAAAAGACTCAAATCCCTGAAGCATGTGAGTTTGAATTTAATTTAAGATTTATATGCATAGAAAAATATGCTATTAACTATTAATTATTAAGTGTTTTCATTTAAATAACTTGTCATCAAGCAATTAGAAGATACTACTCTTGAGGGGGGAAAAATCTTATTGCCATATAAAAATATAAAGGTGGCGTACGCACGTAATACAAAACCAGTAAAACTAAAGGCTCTTCATCACTTCGTATCAACAGACAGCTGTATCCAACCACTCAAAGGAAAAGTTAACATTAAATTTCCAAAATAATAAGACCTAACGATGTCTGTAGTAGCACGTGGAAAGCATTCAACTTTTAGTATATCATAAAGTTAGGGTCTTAGTTACACACTTACAATGTGTTCGGAAACGCTTTTGGATTTTGACGTCAAATTTTAGAAGCCACTACCTTTAGCTTCTCCATCTTTCAGCCATTGGATGTGAATGTGATAATTTTTTTTTTACATGTTTGATTCAGCACCCATGAATCACATTTAATCCGGAATCACAACAAAATTGATATAAAAACAACTAATTATTACTTCTATTCACATTCAACCAATACTGAAGTGAATCCAAAATGCTTTTCATTGTCAATTTATTTCCAAACACGACCTTAAGGACAAAAATCCTTGAATAAACAAGTAAATTCCGCTGTTCATATAGCTTAAATTGACATATTACCAAACATGATGCAGCAGCAATATCAGCCGAGACATTTATTCACTTAAAATACCTTTAAAATACATATGAAACACCCAACAATTTAAGGGTGCATTACATGTGCCTCCCTAAATATATATTCAAATCAAAATAATTGGAGAGAAAGAAAAATCCCTGCATAATCCTCACAACCACATCTCAAGAGGCCAAAGATCGTGAAATACTGGGGGTCAGTTCATTAAGAATTGCTACTTATTTCTTTTCTGGTGCAGGTGCTCATGTCATGCCAGGTTGAGATCCAGGCAAAACATTACCACAGTACTTATGAGGTTCCAGATAGGTCCGAACACCTTGTTGAAATGCAAGGTATAAGTCATCTTCAGCTAGGTAGCACAAATTCGACATGGGATATGGATAAATAAGACGCGTCACATATAAGGGGAAATGGCAAATTTTAAATCATATAGGACACAACACGATTATAAAATAACAAATAAAATTAATATAACGATGATATATAAAATAAAAATCTCAAATCACAAGGGAGAATTGTGTTTAAAACATGAGCATAAGTCACATTATAATCATGATTCAAAAAAAAAACAAAATTATTTAACTATTGTAATATTCAAATTAGTATTGGTACAAAGGTTAAAAGAAGGTATAAAAATAGTAAAATTACAATCAAAAGAATTTAAGTGTCTATGTAGTATCTGACATGGACATGTATCTAACATAGCTTTGACATGACACGAAGTGTCCATACTTCTTGGATCCTCAGGCAATAATATTCATGTCCTTTGCATAAGGCCAAGGAGGGGGTGCCACGATTTATCAAGTAACGGCCACTTTTGAATTATTTATAACTGAGAAGAGTGTTTAATTTTCAATGGACTATACTAGATGATTTTGTTTTACAACCCAATGTAAAACTGAATAATAACCAACCTGATAATGTCTACTGATTTTTCTTATTCCGGGATGTTGAAAAGGATGGTCTCGGATTCTGACTGGATTTTCTTGTTTTGTTGGCATCTGCATTGGAACTTCTAATAATGAAAAGAAAAGTTTCCACAAACATGGCACCAACCAACCCGAGAATTCCTCCAGCAGCATTCTGGAAACAGAGACAAAAAAGGAAGGAAAGGAAATGAAGAGGAGATGAGAGCTCATAACAACTAATTGAGGATAGAACAACGATGAAAAATAGATTTCAGTCAGTACCATGGCAGGGCTGTGATTAAACAACGCTCTAAATGCTGCATATCCGACAAGATAGCCAGTAAACATGGTAACCAGAACATGCAAACCTGAAAAAGTTAAAGGAAAAAATAGAAGAAAAGATCAAATAAAGCTACTTCAGATATATGCAGGAAAGTACAAACATTATATAAATACATGAACTGAAGCACATTTGAAGTTGTTAACCTAAATGATATACAAAAGTTTGACTATAATCTTATATCTGCACAACTTTTCAGTTTTCAACCATCAAAACTCAAGGAATTAATATGAAGGATTTAATTTAAATAAATACACTGACATATCCAATCATAGATTATTATGCATGCTAAAAGAAAGCACTTTTGTAACAAGTACTTAAAAGGTCATATCTAGGGTGATTTCTAATTGGATGACAATGTATAAATCTTTATGTTGACAGTACATAGAAATTGAACTCTAATATGAATATCTTGTGCCTGTATGTATAATAACTTAATAAGTACTGCAGTCTGTAATATGTTATTATACACACAACGTAACTAATAATCCATTCAATCCATCGGTACCACCAATAAACTAGCCCACACAGAAATCAATTCCATTGAGAACAGAAAAACAGGGCAGAGAGATCTCAGTTCCAATGCCAGAAGAATATTTCTTCACATGTAGTTAACAAGCATTAAAAAAGAAAAATCCAGAGCCAACAGCTATGCATGAAGTGTCATACATTCAATGCACGATCATGAAGGATGAAAGTCAATAAAATGTAATATCTCCTTTTTATTTCCCATTGTGCGCTTTTCCTTTTCTAATTTCATACAAACATTGTGTTTTACACTGTAAAGTTATATTGAAAACATCGTAGGAAAAAATAAACACGTTACCATTAATGTACATGAAAGATGCAATGAAACACAATAGTAGACTGCATCCAAATTACATTTTTGCAGTAATACTAATCACTTATTAAATTAAACAAAACTCCAGGCCAAACTGCATTACAACATATGGCATACTCGGTTCAGCAACAAAACCCGGTACTCATATGAGATTGTAAAGAAAAACAAACTAGTCAATCCAGCAAAGGGTGTTCATACTCAATGAACACCAAATCTTCAATAAGGAACAATTGTATGAGTTTAATTTAACACATTGTCAATCAATTAGAAATGATCCTAAATACGACTTTTAAAGTCAACTATTTTACTATACAATGTCTGGTTGACATGTATTGCATTGTAATTAAATTAATATGATACATGAATAGACATGGTAAACTAGAGTCCAGCATAGTTGTAGGAGATTGAAGGGAAGAAGGATTTACCAAACCCTAATTGATCCTTGTAAGAAGAGAATGGCTCCTGGACATCCTTAGGCGGTGTGATATCCTTGACAAGCTCTTGATACGCTTTCCTCTCGGCTAAATCTTCCAACTTTTTGAGCCTGGCTTTCAATTCTTCACTCTTCACAAGTCACAACATAACAGAAATAGTTATTTATCAAGAGTAGTAACATAAAATTGAATGGATAAAGAAATTGCAGGGAATTGAAGTGACCTTCTCTCTGGGCTTAGGGCTGGAAAAGATGAAACGGGTGCCCGAGAAGAGTCGGGTCAAATCGGGTCTGGTGGATGGATGAGAGGCAGTCCAGAGAGCACGAAGCGGTGCGTAGGGTAACTCCGATTGGAGGAGGAGATCGGAGGATGTTTGCCGGAGCTCGTCGGAGAGAGTGGCGTCTTTCGACGCTCCGGAGAGGAAAACCCGAATGGATTCGGTGCTCGATATAACTAACCCGACCCGCTTTGAGTTTTCGCTACTCATTCTGCTCTGCTACTATCTTCCACACCGCACCACCCTTCACCGCATAATACCTATGATACTCTTTAAAAAACTTAAATCAGTCCTAGTTAAAAAATTAGTTACCAGTAAATTTTACCAATAGTTTTACATTTTTTTTCAGCAGTTGTTTTAAATTTATATTTATATATAAGATATATATCATACTAATATTATACAATAAATTGGATTGTATAATTACATATAAAAATATCAAATTGAAATACTTGAATTCCCTTTAATAATAATAAAAAAAACGATTCAATATTTTTCTGTTTTTTTTTTATATCTTATAAAAAGTTAAAAGTCAATGAAATATATTTTCAAAGCTAATTACAAAACTAGGTCCGATTACTTGTGTTTTCGTTTACTAGTTATAATTTTTTTGGTTACAAAACTACTTAGTTGCTTGCAATTTGCTTCTTGTTTACGACAAAAAAATTATTTTTCGTTTTTAAATGCATTTTTTTCTTCTGTTTCTTGTATAAATCCTTAAAAATAGAAAATTGGTTAAAAATAAAGTGACAATTTTATAATTAAAAAATAAAACAGAAAATAAAAAAAAGGCAAGTAAGCAATCCTTAAACTAAAAACAAAATAGTAACTCATAGGATTAGCAACATTCAGATTTCAGAGATTACTTTTTTTTTCTTTTTCTTTTTTTATTACAAGAAATCCATATCTTGAAACGTATACAAGTACTCATGGACTTATTTTTTTCATTTTATTTTTTTTGCGTTTAAGTACTGTTACAAAGAAACTTCCTTAAGAAAATGTTAACTTATGCCGGTTTGTTAAGAAAATGACTCTTGTTACCTTGACATCGTCGCCTTATTCACAGGTAAAGAATATTTCAATGGCTCCTAGTATATATAAACTGTCAAATTCATTACCTAAAATTATATATATTATCACATTAGTCTTTTTTAAAAATTTTGGTGGGTTGACAATTTATAGTCTCATTAATATTGTGCATACTAATTATGCCTATATGGTCAACACAACACTATGTAATGTGTATGCATAACCCCGTATATTTTTATGATAAAAATAATTAAATGATTGCTTTTAATACCTAAACAATTGCTGCAATTCGTGAAAAATGTTTACCTTGAGAGAGTGCTGTATAAAAAAATTAAGAATGACAAGGTCAACGTTTTACCCTGTTTTAAATCTTGAAATGGAAAAAAAATAAAATAAAAATAAAACATAGCATCAGAATTTATGACATTAATGTAACTGCATGCAAATTCCCTGTCAAACCAAGCCAAGCCACAAGCCAAGCCACTATGCTAGATAGATAAACAAGGTATTAGAAAGATAAATTTGCTTCCACAAGTTATTTTCAGTAAAAGCTTGGAATTTGGAACCAACTCTTCTTCATATTTGATCTGAGTTATTGCTCTTGTTCTCGGCAAAACTTTGTTTCCTTTCTGCCTGAAGTGACCGGCATAACGATTCAAGTTTTTCTTTCTGATTTTTAGTTTTCTCCAGTTGTTTCTTCAAGCGCTCACGCTGCTCAGATAGTGAAAAAATAAATTACACATTTGTTGTCAACAATTGCTACTGGTACATGTATATATGTTATAGTGTCTAACACAGTTGAGGCCATTTAATCTCTTTATCTATGTTTCTCTTTCTTAATTCTTATAACATGCTAAAATAGTTAATGGTCAAGAACAGGAAACACAAGCAATATATACCTCATCAACCAACTCTATAAGTGTAATATCAGACTTCTCAGATTTACTCTTCAAGAATTGATTCTCCTTCTTGAGTTCCTTGATTGACTTTGCCATCTGGTTAACCACAATATAGGAAAAAGCAGAGGACTTTAGAAATACATTCATCCAAGACATGATTCAGCAAAAATGACTCGGTCTTGAACAAATAAAAGATGAAAGAGAAATTATTTTTACCTTCTCAATCTCTTGCTTGAATGTTTCAAAAATCTCATTGCTCTTTGACAGCGCTTCCTGAAATTCAATGCATGTTTAAAAACATGCAATCAGATTAGTGTATGAATGGAAAGATCAGCCTAATACCATTCTAAACTAGCCTTGAACGAGAAGCTAAGTCAAAACTCAAAAAAGCAAAACAAGAAACCAAAAGGAAAAACCAAGTTGTAGACACAAGATGTACAAAAAACCAAGTTATCAATGACACGCCAACAAGCAATAGTTGAAGGGGGGTCAAATAAAGATCTGAAAATAGCATGCATGGGAAGATCAGTAGGCTAGGATATGAGATGAACTAGAGAAGGTGGTAGCTAGTTCAGCTGATAGTCCTCAGAAGTGAGTACATCGATCTGGCACAAGTAAGGGTTTTTATGGAAAAGCGGGGCCAGTCGACTGAAAGAAATATATACAGAACTAGTGTAAGACATTAAGGTTTAAATATGTTGTCCTTGTAAATATATACAAGTTTGTTTTTAGTCCATAAAAAAATATTGTCTCCTTTTCGTCCCTCATTTTTTGGAAATGTGTTATTGTGGTCCTTGTCCTTACAAAAGATCTTCTTTTGGTCCCTAGCTTATGAAAATAAGGACCATACCTGACAAATTTCTATAAATAAGAGACTAAAGGGAGACAATTATTTTTAAGGACTAAAAGCAGACTTGTGGATATTTACAGGAACTAAAAACCTTTTTAACTTATATAAGTATATATTAATATCTTGGAAAACAAAACCAAGCACAAATAACTACCGGGATATGAACCCATATCTTAATATTTATTCAATCATAATAAATAAATAAAATGGCATAGAGGATGTGAAACCAAAGTCACCATTAGAGAAAGAGCTTTATGAATCCATCCACAAATTGTTTACCTCAACATCAAAGTGTTACAAATTACAAATATTTGACAAACCAGACCTTTATGCAAACAATGAGCACATTGTAGCAAAACAAAATATAAATTAAAATTGTGACAAATACTAAAAAAAGAATCAAAATAAAACCTGGAATTGTTGGAATTTTTCTCCATCAGTTGTCAGCTGCAATCGTAAATTCTTCTCAGTTGCTAATAACTGAGATACTTGTTCCGCATATATTTTTATCTGTGATTGTTCCTGAACCAATTTTTCCTCATGTTGCTTAATTTTTAAATCAGCAAGCTGTAGTTCCAATGACTTTTGCTTCAACTGCGGAGTCATAATACATAATCATTAAAGTGCCAAAAATTAATAAATACAACTATATCACAAATGTCTACCACAAGAAAACAAAATAGCCATCACCTTCTGTGCGTATTGCTGTTCAGAGAGATCATATTGTTCAGCAAGCTGCTTTAGCTTATTTCTTAACCTGTATCAAAGTTTAAGGCAAATTATTTTATGCTCATCGCAAAACAATTACAGGATCCTTAAATAAACCAACATTGCATACATTACTTATTTAAAAGAAAAAAACAAATGCATAGTGCAGCGCAACACAATAAATGACAAACCAAGAACATAGCCAACTACGGGCGAGGGAAGGGGGGTTGAAGCAGATGCAGACAAAAGAAGTATATATTTACTGTTGAGTATTCTGTGATCATAAAATATTTAATACATAAAATTTTGATACTGTTGATGTCATAAAGCAGTATTCCAGGTTCCAAGATATTAGCATGAAGCTTCTTTTTTTTAGAAGATTTCCCCATGGATTGCAAACAGACAAATAATATGCTTATTTTTCAGCCCTAAATTACATAGAAAAGTTTGCGGTCCCAGGGTTTTCTTTCAAAAAGATGTCAAGGGTACAAGTTCAAATTCCTACGAAAGGTGGAAAGCAAAATTATTTTGTGAATAGCATTCATGAGCTCCAAAGTCAATTTTTGGTGAGAGATCATCTATAGTGATAGACCAAAAATATCAAACCAAACACTAATCAAAATAAAGATTTAGCATAGTAAGGACAAGCCAGTCAACAAATTTTCTTTAAGACTGCCTTATCCAAAGGCAGCAGAAAATAAAATTGAGAAACATCAAGAAGCAAAGCTAAAACACGGATGGGAAAAAGAATGCAATTCCAAACAAATAAAATACTTAATATAATCAGACTTGCATTCAACACTCGAGCATTGCATAGAAATTGCTGACATATAAGACCCAGATAAAATACCATTGGGCAAAATAAAATACACATACGTCTGATTCAGGTCTGAACATGTGTTATATAACTGAAACATTACATATTTGCTGAGACATTATGGGCAAATATAAAAATTTTATTTTCACAACTTGTTAGGGTCTTACATGTCATTCTCCTTTAGCTGAGAAAGGCACTCATCCTTTCGTTCGTCAAGCTTAATACTGACATCCTGTAGCAAAGAGAATAATTGTGAAGAAAATTCGAGCATATAATGTAATCACCAAAATGTGAAGCATCTCAGAACTCAGAATAAAACAAACTTTTCTGAGGTTATAATAAACACTGAACATTCTCCCAACTTGAAGAATAATTGCTGTGTCAAATGATTATTGAGGGAAATACATAACAGATACAGTAATTTCATGGCTGCTTTTAGCACATTTTAGTGAGAAGTAATAAACGATGCTATAACCATGGTTCAGCTAGAAAAGACGTGTCTTCTTGTATCCTGAGATCAAAATAATCAATTTTCCAATCTTTAGGAAGACATTTAGATTAAGGAACAAGAGTCCACTGAATCACTTGCTTTCCATATGACTTTTCTATAGCTTTAGCATTCAATTAATACCGTTGCCATCTGTTGGCCACTGGCATTATTTAGTATGCAAGATTTTTTAACAGTATAGTAAAAGGATTATTAGAGAGAAAAACAGAGGGTACAAAAAAGAAACAGATAAGGTTAAATCCACACTACTGTGCAACCCCCTCTGCATGTCTGTCAAGAGAGACTGATCTAAAGAAAGCATCAGCACGGCACCAAAAGGATTGTGAGGGAAAAAAAACTATTCCAAAGCAAGTCTAAAAATAAGGAAGTGTCCTTCAAAAAAAAAAATTTCATTCTAACCAAAGTTTCAGCCCATTTTGTTGAGTATTAATACATTACAATTAATTAGAAATAACATAACTGTTTCCATAATCACTTATGATAGCATTCCACCCATAGAATTTACATAGTGCGAGTATACCCAAGGCATGCTGATCAGAATATCATACATTCTAGACAAGTCAATGTTCAAACCTTGATTGCATCTTGAAACTTAGCTGACAAGTCCAGCCTTAAGTTTTGCCCCTCAGTTGATACACGTTTGCATTCTTCCTGAAAATAATTAAATGAATCTTAGCCTTTTCATTAACAAAGTCCTAAAGTAAGATGAATCAGAACCCAACCATACTATTCCATAATAGTTTTGTAACAGACCAAAATGTTGAATAAAATAAACTGGAGAAAAAAAATCATACAAAGCCATTTTCTAATTAGATGACAATTTACCAGGATAGAAAATCAAATATTATTAGGGAGAAGAAAGGCGAAACATAACTAGGGCAGGGATTAAATATCCACCAAAACATAAAACAGGTCCAAGATGTAATTTTTTTTTAATAAAAAGTTCATTAAGACAAAGAAGAGATACAAGATGGAATGTGAAAAACTCAATACTGCAACAAGACTGCCAAATCTCTCTGCATATCAGAGACAGCAACTCCCCTGCAACAGCCATAAGCAGCAGAAAAAACAAAGAACTACCCCATAGAGGAGGACACTAAACGCTAAATGGTGACCAAGAACCAAGAGTGAGGATATTGGACTTCTAAATGGGTTTGTCAAGGAACATTTTGAATGCGTAGGAAAGTGAGTTAGAAACTGAAAGGTGGTGCAAGTATGATTATGTGAAAATTTGGGAAATAAATACTTTAGTGGGGGAAATACACACTAAAATAGTTTGGCAGGACAGTATGGCTGCACTCACCTAAACATAAGTATTTTCCTACTTCTTTTCATCATGATCAGTTATTTTTAGTTTGGGTCTTTTAGATTTGCTTTCACATGGCCTTTTTTATGTGCTTATGCTAGTGGACTGTTACTTTTGTGTTAGTAGTTGGTTATAAACTCAACATGAGAAAGGCCTTCCTTTAGTTACCAGCAACACTTTATGGAAGTGCCTCATCAAGGTGTTGGATTAGTAGGATGCCCAGCCTCATGATGAGCTAATTTACTAATTATTTTCAAGCACCAAAACATGGCATCAGAAATATCTGCTTCCCATGTGACTTAATGAAAACTCAAACCCATGACCAGGTTTTCCAACACAAGAGAAATAAAGAATGCATTATGAGCATCAGAATTGGCTTAAATTTGTTTATGTTTCTTATTCAAGGGGATATGTTATCCTCATGCCTAAATTTCACTACTGCTGCTAGTGCTCTCTATAGAACTTTTAATGAAAAAAAAGAAGATAGTTTCAATCCAGGAATTTAACTTCCCAGCAAATTTGGCATAGACCAACAGAACTCCATTGCATGTAAAAAAAAAGACAATCTTTGAGATATTCCACTTCAACATCTACAAATTGTATATTATAAAATCAGTTTCAGAGGTAGCAGTGCAAAATACCATCAGCATTTTATTTTGGCGTTGTAACTCTCTACACAGTGACTCAAGCTTATCTCGGACAGCAAGAGCTGCAAAAAGAAAGGAAACAGTCAATGACCAAGAATTAGCATAAATGTGGTTACAGATTAGATGCTTCCATTTACTTAAGATTCCAAAAAAGTGAACCTAATCCAAACTATCAAACGAAATAGTTGCTAACATGTTTAAAAGGCCATTTTAAAGAAATAACTTGCTGATTAAGAACTCCAATAATTTGATCAGAAACTTCACAAATGCTTTCCAGGGCATATTCAAAACTTCCAAAACCCAACATCAGATATCATGATATATTCATTGAAATATACCTGCATCTCTTTCTCCCAAGACTTGTTGATACTTCAGTGTAAATTCTAAAAGCTCCTTCTCTGATTTAAGAGTACGCTTTGAACTTTTGCGCTTTTCACCAGTTTCCTGATAATTGAGAAGTTCCATCATTCAGTCTCTCCTAATCGTAGTTTCATATAGTGATATGTGACATGACATAAGAAAGAAGGAAAAATAAAACAAATATGCTCATGTCGACCAAAATGAGATAAATTTATATCACTTTTTTTTTTTTAAACTAATAGAGACAATAAAAGGAATGAGGTGAATCAATCACATTAATGACTCTGTTCATTTTAGAATGTGAAGAAAGGGGGTTTGTTTCAAAGGTTCCTGAATGTTAACTAGGCAGAAAATTGATGTGTGCATCACAAGTATATTTGGCTCTCTGTTAAACCAATGATTGCACAAAACTAGCAAAACCAGAACATATGCTTTTGTTCAATGTACTTGCTGAATTCAACATGACCTAAACTGTCTGGAAATTAGCTTGTTTTTGTATGGAACAATTATGGTCCTCCGTCCAAATTTCCTATTCAATAGAATCTAATCTAGTGACTAGCCTCAATTACATCTATATACTCTGGGAGATATTTAACTTACCTCTGTCAAAGATTCTGCTATAAACAAACTAAACATATAAAGACTTATAGAACTGCCCTATTATTCAGATTCCAGAATTCTGATGTTGTTATCGATTCTAAGCTATATTTCATTGACCTAACAATGTTAACCTCCCAAAACACTTGTCTATATGATTCCCACAAAGGTAACCTAACAACTCTATAATCAATCTGATGCAGCCTTATCACTATTCTTGAAGGGGAAAAAGGTACATTAGACCTGTAAACTTACAGCCTAACAATCTACATTGTTCAAACTTCAAAATTTCAAATTATTAACATTTTATTATAAAGCAAAAAAGAATCGCTCTGCTTATTTCCAGTAAACTTTATCCTGTCCAAGTTAGTCTCCTACCAAACCTAATGTCCAAAAAACTAGTTGCAGGTCAAATAATACCTGACAGTTGAACAGTCAAGGATGTGTTTAATCAACTGTTCAAATAAATAGCAGAAATTTAGGAGAGACAGAGGGAACATGCACACACAGATACTGAAAAATATATAGCAGAACAGACATTTATATGAACTGTACTACTAGTGCATGTGGGAATATAGAAATTAACAGAAGTAATTGACTAACTGCTTTTTTGTTTTTTGAAGAATCAACAGTCTCTGATGAACACGCATTTTTTACAGGTGGTGCTTTTGTCTCCAATGCTACAACAGTTGCTGCAACAGCAATCAGCAACAACAACACAATCATGTTAGATACTCAAAGAAAGAAGAACTAAAAGACATCAGTAATTCAACATGGAGATCTAAATGCATGTGTTTTATAGGTTTGCAGACATGTGCAAGCATACAAGGTAATCCACTTATTATTTAAGTTTATGGAATCACTCCAAACATTTAGTATATGACTAGGTATAGTATCAGTAAAAGTTTCCAGCAATGTAAGAGAAATAAGAAATGTTAGTTTAAGAGATCTTGTTCATCGTTCCAACAGAAAAAAAATTTAATTCATGCATTTTCAATTTTCTTTTGGATGAAGAATTTTTAATCCAAGAAAAGGAGTTTGTTGTTTGATAAACAGACTTGTATAATATGGATAATTCAAAAGGAAGAAGAAAAAAAGCCCATTATGCTAAGATCTCACACCAAGCATATGGTCAAAGTACTCCAAATAGTAATAACTTGAGTAGTCTGGTCCCACCCCCTGAGCTAGCTTTTGAGATGAGTTATACCCGGTCTGTTCTCAATTAACATGGTATCAGGTCCTATCCCAATCCAAATATGTTCAGTTGGCCACAGTTCACAGATGTTTAGCCCTGCCAATTTCACACTTCAGATGTCCAATCTTGGGTGTAGGGGATGTTAAGATCCTTCATTAGCTATATGGTCAAAGTACATCTTATAATGGCTTGGGCAATCCGCCTACTTTGATCTTGCTCTTTAGCCTTTGCTTGGATGGTATGATTTGGAGAAGATTGAAATAACAAAGAAGGAATTAAGCAGTAGATAAGTAACTTCCACTGTTTGGATATTGTTGAAATGGAAAAGAAATGGTTATGTTTCTGTGGATCCCACATAAAACCATTTCTTCCTTCTCTGCCGTGAAATGGAGAGGAAAAATATAAATAACCAAAAATTTCCAAATATATCCTCTATTATTTATGTTATGACTCCCAATTCTATTTCAAGCTACCCCCCCACCTTGTTCTTTTGCTTTTTTTTTCTTAAAAACTACGAGGAATAGAACTCTTTTGCTGGACAATAATATAAGGATTGCTGCTTTCATATATACCACAACTCATTTTTGGATAATTACTATGGAAATATAAATATAAAAATATTATTAAGGTTAAATATTTAATATACTTCCTTACGTGAATTAGGACTTGATGACTAGAGACAAGGAAAACTAATTAGATACTCTTATCTAATGAAAATTTCCAAGAATTAAAATATATAAAGAAAAAAAATATATTATGGAGGATAAAATAGTCAATTCAACATCTTTTTTATTTGTTTCCTTTCACTTCTTAATCTAACCAAACAATTGAAAAGAAATTATTTCCTTTCATTCCTTCTTAATTCTATCTATCCAAACAACTTCAAATTTCACTTTAAATTCATTACAATTTCCGTTCTTTCTATTTCTTTCCTCTTTATTTCTTTCCTTCCTATTTCAATTCTTATCCAAACACAGGGTTAGAGTCAATTTAGGCCCAATTTGTTATCAATTTTAATAAGTTCAATATAAACTTTGGGGGCCATAACAATGAGAATATCTTATTCCACATTATATGGATACTGTTTGAGGTTTGAACTGAAATACTAAAGACAGAAGAATTTTTCGAGGTTTATAAGTCACTTACACATACACATACACATACACAACAACACCAATAAGGAAGCCTCCAAATTTAAAGTCGTGTATGTATTGAGCATGGTTAGAAGTGCATTATCAAAATCTATAGGCTTTTTAAAAATCATTATAGACCCAAAGGCTCTTAATTCCTTTAAAAAGAAAATACATGAGGAAAGAGGAAATTTTGTATAATACCATGGTCTTACTGGATAATATTCTAGTCTACTTAGTAAAGCATATATGCTACAGAGAAGCATATATAAATAGTGTCTATAAGTAAATGATGGAGATTGGAGAGTAAACCCAATTGTAAGGAGTCACCGAAAAAGGGAAGAAAAAAAAACTGTCTTAGTCAAGACCAATATATTACTCTTTTAATTTCCATGAAACTAAAAAAAATAACATGTAGTTGCCAGCTACAAAATCTACGAGAAAGGCACTAAGGCTTAGGAGTTAGGATAATTACATTTATCTGAACTTTGGCATTCTTCTTCTTGCTCCTCCTTTACCTCACAGCATGTGGATAGCGGAGACTCGGAAACAGAATTTGCTACAGCAGATGTAATTTGTGCACCTTCTGTCTGCTGCATACAGCTATTAGAGGGAATCTCCCCTGAGCATTCTGAGGCATCAAAAGTATGTGCCTTAGATAATGAAACATGATAAGTTACTAGTTGCTCAATGCTCACTAATCTAGCTTACCATGATTATTTTGAAACTCTTTTTCTCCCAAATCATTTGATAGTTCATTAGAATGACTAAGGTCAGAGGAATCATCATCCTTGTAACTATTCAGGGGCTTCTCCTGTTCAGGAGTTGGAGATACAGGAGCAAGAGGCTCTGTAGTACTCTCAACAAACCCATCCGGTAATGAATCAACTTCAGGAAGCTGATTTGCGTCTGGATTCTGCATTTCCCCTACATCTCAAACACCCATTCTTAAAATTATTTAACTACAATTTAAAGTTCAACTGTTTACAAAACTAAGGGTAGACAAGTAAACCACGGTCATGATGAGTTTTAAAATTTTTACCTACCACCTACAATTACATTGCACAACTGCTTTTGTAATCTTATTATAACAAGAAAATATGATAGCCGGCCAAAACCACCTAAACTAGTTTAAAACTTCATCAAGGATTGACAACATTACTTCAACAAAAATCAAGCATATGGAAAGCCATATCAAATATCAAGTACATTTTCAATAAAATTTAACAAGTACAACAACATCATGAATCACAAATCCAGTCCCTTGATATATCAACAAAAGTAACACCCTAAGGAAACTAACAAAACAAACACAAAAACGTTGTGGAAGAAGCTGTTAAAATAAAATGGGCAGATGAACAATTTCACCCAATTTTTTATTCTTAAATAAAATAATATTTTCCGCTCCGACACCGAATAAAGGACGCTGATCGTTTATACGGAGAAGTTGAAGAATGAAGAAAGTGGAGGAATGCAGTGCGAATAGCTGAGTGGAAGAATGAATGATGCGGGTGATTGAGAATTAGAGTAAAAAAGAAAATTTAAAAGGAAGAAATGGAAAAGGGAAAATCGAAGGGAATACCTAGCAGTTGCAGAATGTATCGATGGAAGAGTCGAGGGAGGAGAAGATCCAACAGTGGGCGTGGTACTGGAACTTGAGCACCTGCTGCTTCGCTCTCTCACACCAAATTTCGCTTTTCTTTCTTCTTTTGTATAAATATAAGCTGGGTATGACTACGCACCAAGTAACTCTCTTTTTTAAATTATTAATAATAATAAGAAATTTTATTTTCTTTAAAATTTTTATGATTGCTTATCTGCCACAGTAATTTTTTTAAGTTAAACTGTTAAATAAATTAATTAATTAAAAATTAAATACTCAATGAATATATGTACAATTCTTGTGCATTTTAATTCCACCACCCGCATGAAAGTTATGAACATTTTGTTGTTAATATTCTTAATGATGTAATTAATATGAATATGATAATTAGTGGCACGGTGTGGGAGTATCTTTATTATTGTAAATATTAGTCTTTTTTCTTTCTTTAACCTCATCGATATACCCACACCAATTTCTTCGTGGGTTGGGCCGAGAATAACTGGGCCTTTTTTCTCTTAATGCAAGACGAGTTGCTATTTGTACCTCCTACATTACTAGCATATCCCCTTTCGTAATATTTTTCCTCAAGTCCAGAGTAAAATGGGTAACAGGGAGCGTATTATTTTCCAAAAACAGAATAATTTGGGAAAAAAAACAGAGAATGTATCTATAACTTTTTTTTTCTTTCTAAAAAGAAAGTATACACAGTCGAGTGTTTTACAATCAACTAAATGATAATTTCATTGTATATTTTTTTTTACTCAAATATTATTATAAATATTTTATTTAAATTTATAAAAAAATTAATAATATATAAATTATATAATAATATTTTTATTTAATAAAATTTAAATTATTTTGAAAATTTGATAACTTATAATTAAAATTATTTAAATAAAAAATTCAATAAAATAAATTAACAAAAAAGATGTTATTTTATAAGAAGGATAAAATTATATTATTTCATTTTAAAAAATAAAGTGTTATCAAATATCATTAAAATGTAAAAATAAAACAAACTCTAATAATATTATTAAGCTTGACAAGATAAAAAAATAAATGACACGTAAAAAAAGAGAGAAAGAAAGAGAGTGAGAGAGATGGAGAGAGGGGGGGAGTAAAGGGAGGGGAAGGGATAGCCCCATAGAAGGAATGAGAGAGAGAAAGAGAAAGAATAAGAGAGAGATATTTTGAAATAAAAAAATACAAAAAATTCTAATAATATATTTTCTATTTTTAGAAAGAAGATATTGTATATTTTTATATATAATAAAAAATTTCTTCTAAGTCAAGAAAGTAAGATTCTCAACCTTCAATGAGAATGATTTTGGGTATATTTGTTTTAATTTTTTTCTTATAAAAATGTTTTTTATGTGAAATATTTTTTTATGTGCTTTTCTAAACTTTTTTGTGAACAAGCAAGCAATTTTCTACTTTTTTAATAAGCAACTTTAATTAGCTTCATAAATACTTATTTTTTTTAAACACTTGCTTAGATTTAAAAAAAAAAAAAACTTAAACAAACTAATCCTTTGTGAAAATTTGGGATAAAATGGTTTTGAAAAATCATATCTCTTGCAAATCTTGTTTTTTAAATAGATACCATATCAATCATAGGAAATAAATATTCCCAATATAAAATTATAATTATAATTAAAAAAAATTCTTCTACTAAACATTCGCTTAAAGTATATATATGCATGAATCTATCCCTTATATAATTATTTTGTATTTCACCCTAATACTATAAAATGTCAAAACCTTATCTTAAGATGGAGAAGGGTAATTAATTATTTTTGAACAAAACATTATTTTAGTCTTTAAAAATTTATTTGAATGTCACGATAGTTTATGAAACTAAAACAATTTCAAATAAATTCTTAAAATAAATATTTTAGTTATTTCATCTTACAAGCGCTCAAATTTAGCAAGTTATTATCATTTAATTTGATCTCTACACATGTATTAATATTATTATTTAAATCACATTTTATTTGTTAAGTTTTAGAATAATATGATTAACGAATTATATTTTGCCTTAATTTGAAAAATTAATATCACAGTAGTATACCCTTCCATCAGTTCATGCAATAAAATGATGGTTGACACTTTATTTTTTTCATCAGGAGAATCCTAAAATATTCATTGTTTTTGTATTTTTTAATTTTACATCTCTATCTTTCAATTTATTACCTTTTCTTTTCACACACCTCCTTCATTTTCTTTTTTAGTTTTCACATACACTATCTTGTCTTTCTCTAATTCTTTACCTATTTTAATGAGTAGTTTTAGTTCTCTCAATTTTTACATTACTCTCGATTCTTGAACCAACCCACTGATCCAAATTTTTGAATATTATAAATAAAACTCATATATACATCATTTGTTTAATATGAAATTGTAAGATATTTTTTTTAATCTTAAGTCATTTGTTTTAATTACTATTTTTGTGCCATTGTTATTATTAATTTGTATATTTTAATGTAAAGGAAATTTGAGTCTAATTGATAATGCTAGTAAAATCGTAAGTAAAGATAATGAAAATAACACTAATTTATTTATTTTTATCTAAATATTCATCCTTTATAATAAAGATATCTATTATCATACTTTATTTTCTTTTAAAATATATAATTTTCTCATTATTAAAAGACAGACATCGTGAAGCTTCTGTCTACATTTCTGTTTTGGCAAGAATTGGAGAATGAGAGCTGAATATGGGGAGTATAATAAAACAATTAATTTATAATATAACACTACACAAATAAACAACTGAAGTCGTGGAGTAAGTATGTAGTTATGATGTAACAGTTGTTTTCAGTACTGTGAATACATGACAAGTCGATCTTTTAGTCTTGAATCTGGATTTCAAATTACATCAGAATGAGCATCGTGTACACAACTACTCATTGCTTTCTAGTAGCCAGCCTGTTCTTTTCTGGATTGGCTGTTAGCAACTAATTACCTTTGGCAGCTGTGCATTCTTCATAGTCCATAGGGCCATGAAGAAAAGGGCAAGCCTCTACATCTATGAACAAGAATGAACCCAGTCACGAAAGGCGAAGCCAGACAAATTTTATTCAAGAAGCCAACGAAAAAATATGCTAACAAAATCGCCAAAATAATATTCAAGTTACCTATGATCAAAGGAAAAATGATTTTATAATTATAAACAAATAATGCATAATTCTATTGTTTTTCAATTGAGTTGTTGCATTATTCGATGGATATATGGGGGTGTGATATTTATATGGTCATGGCCAACCATTTAAATAATAATATAAAAATAGTATAAAATTATTTCACAAAAGTTTTAGTATGCTAAGGCTTCTATACAGTATTAGAACTTATGTACAAGAAGAAAAACCAATTCAAAAGACTAGTTTATTATATAGGAGAATGTTCTTTCTCACCTGAGTGACACGAGCTTGCGTTCCATTCTTTTCACTTTTTCTTTCAATGACTAGAGTACTACGTCAAGATTCTTATGCTATTCAACGCATTCTTTTCACTTTTTCTTTCAATGACTAGAGTACTACGTCAAGATTCTTATGCTCTTCAACGCGAGACTCTGAACATATAAACTAAAAAGCTTTGTCCCTGCAAGTTGCTGACAATCAAATATGAATAACTCTCGGTACTTTCCTACATGTCACTGAACCAGAAATTCAGTATATGACAATCAAATATGAATACCTCTTGGTACTTTCCAACGCGTCACTGAACCAGAAATTCAGTGGATTACGCATCCGCAACAAATTCTTCCTTAATGTAAGGGATAGAAAAGAAATTTCCAGGCAATTATAAATTTAAAATGCATTAACAAAGAAGCATAATTTTGGCAGTCATTGTCATCTTAGTGTTGTACTGCACCATTACCAGTAAAATAAAGCAGTTGAAATTTCAGATAAACTAGTTGAGTATTTAACATAAACATGTGAAGCCTAGGCAATAGCATCTTCTATTTCTCTATGTCTGTTGATTAAACTTCATTAAAATGGGTTTAGTGGCAAACTTGAAATGAACAAACAATTAAAAAAAACATGTTTAGGAGAACAGACATAACTTAAGGAAACCAAAATTTCTTTACAAGATAAGGATTAAAACAAATCATTAACATTGATTTTATACACAGCTAAGAACACTAAGCACACATCATCTATCATTCTTGTTTCTTTTGTCCTAACTCCTGCGGATATTTTCAGCATCAGATTTAAAATGCCTAAAGTTGCCCCAGGTTTCGTTGTTGTGACTTCCTAATTTATTAAAGGTACTTGCTTAAATTAATAATAAAGGATAAATTTTCAGAGCTTATCATCTAAAACCCAACTAAAAAGACTGAATTTGAACTTTGAAGGTCAGTCAAGTGAATTATTTAATTTCAAGTAAATGTAATCATTATAAAAATGAGAAAAAGTCAAGAGATGTGATATGATGACCAAAGTAAATTTTGTTCCTCAGAAGAATCAATAAGATGTAAAATAGAATGATAGGAAAGTGATGGCAAAGAGATATAGTACAATATCTCACAAGTGAACTGAGCTGCCTGTATGCAAGTCATAGATGAGTCAAAAAATTCTTGACGTGAGTTGCCAACTTTGCAAAATCTTGGGGGTTGTTTGCATTGGCTGCATCAGCAGATTCTAAAGCTGTTTTTGAATTAGTCGAACCATCAGCAGATTCTGAATTTACTTGGTTCAAATTAGTTGGAGCATTAGCAGATTCTGAATTTGATGTGTTTGAATTAGTTGCAGCATCAGCAGATTTTGAATTTGCTGGTATAGATGCAACAGCACCCAAAGCATCCAAGAAGAATCTCTTATTAGGGATGATACCATCTTTATCCATATGCTTCAGCAATTTATCAAGAAGCTCCTTCTGGTTGGCTTTAGTGTAAGCCTTATAAAGAAGTTTATATGTTGATGAATCTGGATATATTTTTATATGTTTCGCTCTCTCAAACAGTGAATCTGCTTCCTGTGGTAAACCATTTATGCAGTAAACATCAAGCATAGCATTAAGAGTTGAAACTTTAATATGAACTTTTGACTCAACCAGCTCATCAAACAATTGTACAGCCCCGGAGACACAATCACAGAAGCCATACATATAGATGAGACTCTCATGGGTAACAAAGCTCGGCGAGTAACCCATGTCAGTCATCTTCTTGAAAATATTTTCTGCTTTATCCTTAAGCCGCGCCTTCCCATAGTTCAAAATCATTGAATTAAATGTAGGGAGCGAGGGTCTTTCCTTGGAGCGCAACAAACTCTTAAACACCTGCTCCATCTTACCAAACTCCTGCTTCTTCCCATAGGAATCAATCAGCAAGTTAAAGGTAATCAAATCAGGCTTACACTGATTGCTTTTCATTCGTGCAAGCACTGCTTCCATTTCCCAAATCATCCCATTTTTCCCATACGCATCCATCACCCCATTGAAAGTGTAAATATCTGGTGAAACAATGCTCTCATCAAGATCCTTAAACAAAGAATTGACCTGCTCCACATTCCTCGCCTGAGCAAAGGCTCTCAGAAGAATGTTGTATGTAACAATGTTGGGATTGCACCGCTCCATTCCTTTCATCTTCTGAAAGTAGCCAATGGCTTTGGCCAAAGCCTTTGTTTTGTCCCGTGAATGAAGGTGTGCTGTGATGAGTGCATTGTACACAGACGTATCAGGACGACAACCAGTATTACGCATCTCAGAGAAAAGCCACATAGCCATTCTGGTTTGCCCTTTCTTTCCCATAACTGATATCAGCTTTGAGTAAATCCCATTATCAGCAATATACCATCGTTGTTTTTGCATCCATCTGAAAACCTGAACGCCAAACAAAATTCACACCTAAATGAGGCAGAGTCAATCATTGACATTATCATTCTCGTTCCCTAATTTAGGACATGTTTGCATAAACTTCTCTAGAAACACTCGTAGAAGAACAAAAAAGACGGACAAAATGAAATAAATTTACCAAGCATCCACAATGCAATATGCAAGTTGCATAATCATGCATCTTATTTTACTTTATTGGGTTTCACATTGCCACATCACATTTAACCAATCCATGAGCAACCTATTACATTTTAACTCCAACGGCAAAATTTTAAGCAATCCTTACTAAATCTTTTTTTAGATATGATTTACTGAATTTTTCCCCTCTGCTTATTTTCAAGCAACCCATAAAATACCTACATTAATGATGCTCTCAATACGCTAAAATTAGCTTATGTATAAACTAAATTACAGAAGTTATGTGCATTATTTCATTTCCTTCCTATTTTTTTTCTCAGGAAGTGCTTATGAAAATATGGAAAAATTTATCCAAATAAGCCTCAATTATTTTAACTAATGCATACTACATGTTATAAGTCTGTATGGACAAATAAGCACTTCTATAAGGGAAAAAAAAAAGTCAAATTGATAATATTAATAATAATAGTAAAAATGTAAAATTCTTAAGCCAGACATCAATTTCATAAAGATAAGATATTGATAACATTTCGTAATAGAGAAGGGGAAGGGACCTCAAGACATTGCAGCCACTTGTCTTCTTTGCCTAGTTCTTCAAAGAGCAAAAAACAATGCTCGGTTCGAACCAGCTTCACGTACTTGTTCAGCGTCTTCACCAGAGGCTCTTTGTCGCTTATCTTGCGCGTGAGCAAACGAACCAGTTCTTGGGCTTCTGAATTGTGGCTGGTTTTCTTCCTTTTGGGGCTCGGGCCGCATGAAACTCGGCTCAGTGAGCCCGCGCGTGGGTGGCTACTAGGACTGTAACTTGGAAACAAAGGAGAAGAGCAAGAAGAGAGACTAGACATGGGAACAGGAACTGAAACACAGTGAAGGGCGCGCGGTGGCTCACGGTGCGCGCGGTGGCTCGCGGTGCGCGCAGTGGCTCACGGCGTGCGCGGTGGCAGCTATGGTGCAGTGAGTGCGGTGTGACCGTGTGAGAGGGTGTGAGAGTAAGAGGGTGCCGTGGCAGCTATGCGTTATGGTGCGGAGGCATTGAAATTAATTATTCTGATTTCTGAAATTGAAAACTTGAAATTTGAAATCCATTGGGCTGCATCTACACATACACACCGGCCCAATAACTATTTATTTATTTTTATTACGGATTGGTGAGACAGCTGGTGAGACAGCCCGATTCATCACGAGTTCAATTCGGGTGAGCTACATTGTTAGTAAACCGAGTTTAAAATTAACTTGTACTAAAATTTTTAATTTTTTTCAACTCAATCCGACTTAAATCCATAATGGCCGGGTTAGCTTACTTTAACAGCTCTATAATTATTATTATCGTCAGGTCTTCCAATAATGGTTGGAAATAGTTTTTTAAATACATTAGGTGATTGATAACAAGTGTTTGAAGAAGACATGGTGGAGAAAATATATCACAATTGTTGGTAATACTAATTTTTTCAAAATTATTTGAATCATTATTGATGATTCTTATGAATTGAAAGCATCGACATTCATATCAATTGTGTATGTGAGAATGTTTCTTTTACTAAGGGATGCAATGAACACATTCTCAAATCCTGATTCATGTATCTTTCTGATTTTCAGGATTTTGATGCATGTTTTGAGCTTTGCCCCAGAACCAATCATGGTAAACTAATCAGTTTCGAAATGCTTGCTACATCCTAGCTGCAAAATATCTCGTACTGCCACAAGAATGAATCACCAAAAATTTAAAATAAGAACACAAAACAGAGTTGACAACTTAACATTAACACTCAAAAACCAAATCTGCAGCATATTATATTACAATAATGTAACAGTTTTCACAGAAACACATTACAATAAAAACAAAGCATAAAAATGGAAAAAGAAATAGCATTGCCACCGTCGATCAAGAACCCAGTTCTGGGAACAAAAGTCGCGAGATGAGGGCGCAGACCAGACACAAAATCCGACAAACAAGTTCCTTAACATAAAAATAGTAGTACTAGGAACAAGAAGCCATTTATTGTAGTAGTAATGATAGACTTCTCTTGATAAACCATGCTGCACGAGTCATTTGCCACTCTTCTTCTGTGCAGCCTTGGTGACCTTAGCTCCAGTTGGGTCCTTCTTCTCCACGCTTTTGATGACTCCCACGGCCACAGTCTGACGCATGTCTCTCACAGCAAAACGACCAAGTGGAGGATACTCAGAGAAGGTTTCAACCACCATGGGCTTGGAGGGAATCATCTTCACAAAACCAGCATCTCCATTCTTCAGGAACTTGGGCTCCTTCTCAAGCTCTTTACCGGAACGCCTATCAATCTTGGTCACAAGTTCGGCAAACTTGACAGCAATGTGGGAGGTGTGGCAATCAAGAACAGGTGCATAGCCATTTCCAATCTGTCCAGGGTGATTCATGATGATAACTTGGGAGGTAAAGTTAGCTGCCTCCTTGGCAGGGTCATCCTTAGAGTTTGAGGCAACGAAACCACGCTTGAGATCCTTAACAGCAACATTCTTAACATTGAACCCCACATTATCACCAGGAAGGGCCTCGGTGAGTGCTTCATGGTGCATCTCCACAGACTTAACTTCAGTTGTGAGTCCAGTTGGTGCAAAAGTAACCACCATTCCAGGTTTCATGATACCAGTTTCAACTCGTCCAACAGGCACAGTTCCTATTCCTCCAATCTTGTAGACATCCTGAAGGGGTAATCTGAGGGGCTTGTCTGATGGTCTCTTGGGCTCGTTGATCTGATCAAGGGCCTCCAGAAGGGTTGGACCCTTGTACCAGTCAAGGTTTGTGGACCTCTCAATCATGTTATCTCCCTCAAAACCAGAGATGGGAACAAAAGGGATCTTGTCAGGGTTATATCCAACCTTCTTCATGTAGGAAGAAACCTCCTTCACAATTTCATCGTATCTTGCCTTGGAGTACCTTGGTGTAGTGGCATCCATCTGTTCACGAGATACCAAATGAAAACTTGAATAAATTAAGAATAAAACTTATATGCAATACCATAAATGCTGCTATTTTCTAATTAGAATTGAAGTTTCACTTTTCGTAATAATAGATTTGATTAAATGTCAATGCATATTACCAACATAAAACTTCAATTTCGATTGAAAAACAATATCAATAATATCTATAATACTATGCATATTACTAACATAAAACTCCAAATTTGATATGAGAACCATATCAACAATATCTATAGTACTATGAATATTACCTGCATAAAAATCTAATTTTGATTGGAAAACAGAATCAACAGTATTTATGATATTGTACTAAGTTTTATCCAAAAATTAATTGAAAAAACAATTGCGAATAACCATCTAAAAGTGTCTTTCAAAATGCAGGGGCCTAAAAAAATCATATACCTTGTTACAGCAGCAAATCATTTGCCTCACACCAAGAGTGAAAGCAAGGAGAGCATGTTCACGAGTCTGTCCATCTTTGGAAATACCAGCTTCAAAACCACCCGTGGTGGAATCAATAATAAGAACAGCACAATCAGCCTGGGATGTCCCAGTAATCATGTTCTTGATGAAATCCCTGTGTCCAGGAGCATCAATGACTGTGCAGTAGTACTTAGTGGTCTCAAACTTCCACAGAGCAATATCAATGGTTATCCCTCTTTCACGCTCAGCCTTGAGCTTGTCCAGCACCCAAGCATACTTGAAAGACCTCTTGTTCATCTCAGCAGCTTCTTTTTCAAATCTCTCAATAACACGCTTGTCGATACCTCCAAGCTTGTAGATGAGGTGGCCGGTGGTAGTTGACTTGCCAGAGTCAACATGCCCAATGACAACAATGTTAATGTGAACCTTCTCCTTACCCATTAGGCCTCCAACAACTTAAACCAATAAAGTCCTGTCATATAAACACAAAAATCAATCATCTAACAACAGAACAAAATCAACAAAACATAAACCTCAACACTCGAAAATAGCAAAAATCAGATGAACCAAATAAATACCATCAACATCACCCAGAAGATAAATCAAAATCACTGTTTAAATAGGCAAGATAGATTAAAGGTACTTTTCAGTCCTAAAATTTAATAAATTTTAGTTAAAAACTTTTTTATTATAGTCTATATTATACATACTATCCTGTTTCTTTTCAGTTCATGTTGTTTATTGTTAATAGAAGGTAACATTTATTAAACTATAGAAGTAAAATAAAATATTTTTAATTATAAGAGCTAAAAGTTAAATTTCAAGGAAAAAAATAGTAAACCTAGATTAAACAAAGCAGATGAAGTAAAGACAGTATAACCTTCAAGATAATACGAGGGTCTACGATTGAGAAAAAAAAAAGTAATAATAACATGACGATATTCAGATGCCTATACGTGGGAAAAAAATATATATATGACACCCCTGATTCAAACTTAAACCATGCTCACACGATCTGTATTCATTAATTTAATTTAACAGGAACATAAATCCAAACCAAAATCAAATCAAATAAATAAATAAAAAAAGAGGAATTAAGTATGGATCATAGGGAGAAATAACCTTGAAGAAAGAAAGTGAGGTAAAACCCTTGGTAGCAGCGAGAAGAGAGCAGAGAAAAATGGTTAACAGAGAGGGTTTATATAATAATACAAGTGGTGTGGAAAAATCATATATTAATAATATATGTAGGCTTTCTTAACAAGTCATGAAGACCATAAACAATATCTAGTAGCCTTGCGTACCAAGTCATGACGATAAAACAACTTTACATAATTTAAAACATTCCAGACTTCTTTTTTTTTTTTTTTTTTTTGTTTAATAAGCTTATTTATAAACACTTTGAGAAAAGTAAATAACAAGTCAACGTCAAAGAAAAAAAGAGTATATGCTGATCTGCATAACGCGCCGGGCCTCATCTCCACAGATGTCAATTGTGCCTTCGTTGGTGAAAAATAGGGGAAAGAAATTCTTCTAAACTTTAATTCTTTCATTAAAATTTTAGTAGTGAAGGCGAATGGACCAGTCTTCCTCATTTGATGTTAGCTTTCTTTATAGGTGAAAAGATTATTTAAAACCAAAACTTCAATAATATTATTTACTGTGAAAATTTTTTGACTACTTCTTCATGAGTCCTTTTTTTTTTCCCTTCTTTTCACATAAAAGGGTATTTATGTAAATATATAAACAAAAAGAATGGAGATATATTTAGTAACTAATGTATCAGATTGTAGATGTATAAATGAGATTAAATATATTCTAATTGAGAAATTTGATTAATAATATTTTTTAAATGAATGAAATATTATTTGAGTTTCATTATTTACGGACATAATTCACGTAATATTTTAAAATTGATAATTAAATATCAATGTATATTGGTGAAATGTGAGTTTCGTTGAGCAATTTCATGTATAATTATTCTTAACTTTTGAAGAATTTATTTTGGATATGAAAAGTTTTAACATTGATATAAATTTTGAACCGTTAGTTTCATTCCAAAATAAATTTCCTAATCATGAAAATTTATGAGAGAATATTCAAGTATAACATGGAAGAAGAAAAAAACTCGGGTCAATGGGGGGTTCAAAAGTAATATGACCCATGTTAAGCACGGGTTCAAAAATTGAAAAGATTTTTGAAAATTTGATAATTGTTGTTTAAATGTTAACAATGAATTTTTAACTTGTAATTACATTACATTAAAGATACTTGATGATTTATTTTCTTTATAAGAGATTTTTTCTATATTTTTTGTAATTACTCATTTTTATTCTTACACTTAATAATACAAGACAGACATATCACTACCTAAGGTTATTATATAAGTAATTATTGGATATACAAATAATGATACACACATACGTGAACAAAAAGTTGCATCATCAACTATACATATACATACATACATACATATATATATATATATAAATTTAAAAATTATAATTATAATGTATAAACATAGGTTGTCAATTTATTGGGATGCAAGCAAAGTCTAACATCATTTAAACAAGAGAATAGACATAAGTTTATATACACATGATTGGCTCCATTGGGAGATGAGTCTTTTAGGTGGTATCCAAAAGTAAAACCGTGAGGGCTAGACCCAAAGCGAACATTATCTTACCAATATAGAGGCATGTGCATGTGTGTGGTAAACTCTACTCAACAATGGCAGGTAGATCCAAGTTTGAGGAGAGGATTGTTGAGATGCAAGTAAAGTCTTACATTAAACCGTGATGCATGTGTGTCATAATCATCGTAGTCCAAAAATATAAAAATGTACAAGGGTAAGGTAGTAATAAAAAAAATCCAAATGACAAGAATAAACTACTTATTCACAACCTTTCAATTTTATTACATGTTCAACTTTCAACACTATTAGGCAATTCATCACGATTCAACATAACAAGTGAATAACATAGAATAAAATGTCAACAATCATACAAATAAGTTATTCTTCAACTTGAACAATAATACATTAGGACATATGAATCACACAACTCAATCACATATGCACAACAAATCAACTATATGTGTCATCACGTATTTCTATTAACAGATCTCTTATAACACATGTGAGTAGTCCAAGTGGTTTGACTTTATCGAGCCAACAACAATGTAATATTTTCAATTTAACTATATTAACAACCAATTTGAATATTAATCCATAATAACATGATTTCTTGAATTTCACACTTAAATTAGAAAGTCTAATATTTTTATCAAGGTAGAATAACTTGGGTGTGAATCTACCATAACATTAACTATTTTTTGTCTGTCTTATATATATATATATATATATATAT